GGCTGCACTACCTGCCGAAACAGGGCGCCCGAAACGAAGTTTCCGCGAGTTTCCCCTCGGAATCGATCGAAAGGGGGCTTTGGTTCTGCAATCTTCGAAGAGGGAACTTCATATAAAGGCTTCCCATTCTTCCCGGGAAGGTTTCCCAGAAAAGGTTTCATGTGAAGCCGGTACTGTACGTGAAGGTCCAAGATCATCCACAAAAGGCTGAAACTTCTGGTTGTAGTTCGAGTCCCTCGTTGTTCGGATCTTGGGAGAATGATGCGTGTAAAGGTGGACAAACTGGTGGACAACACCATCTATAAACTCTCCATCGAAGTCAGGAGGCCAAGCATCTGAAATCTGCCAACCCCGGTCTAGGCCGATGAACGTGAGCGGAGCGGGGCCAGCGGGTTCCTGTTGAGGGACGCCGGTGAGCGGTGGACGATGTCACTCAGCCGTCGCATTGCCAAAAAAATGCCCGCTGCGTTGACATATGTTTATTTGTTTGGTCTTCTGGGACCGTCAATTTTTTTCCCCAAACAGTGTGGGCACACTGAGGGGTTCTTACGGTAGTAGAAAAGCAGCTGGGGCGCAGCTGGGGCTTAGATCGCTGAAGCCCGCGGGCGTGCGTGGCTGATTCGCTGCTTTTACAGTATAGTCCATGTGCATTTCGACTGCGCAGGCTTGCTGAATCTGGCTGTCCGCGGCGGGTGCTTCTAACGACTGCGCTCTCGTTGTGGTGCCGTGCACATTTTCGTACGTGGTGGTGACTTTTCGTGGCAGGCGCAAGGGAAACCTCGTGGTTTGGTGCTCCAAAGTCGACTTTTCGTGACAGGTGCAGGGGATCGGAGCTGTTTTACTTCGAAAGGCAGTTTTCGTGGCAGGTGCAGCACTTTGGACATGGTGGTGATCGTCGGGGAGCTCAGATTTCGTGACAGGTGCAGTGAATCGTGACTTTGGGACATGTAGCTCGTTTGCAGATTTTGTAGCAGGCGCAGCGCTTGGTGGACCTGGAAGTGCAGATTTCGTGGCAGGTGCAGCACTTTGTGAACCTCGAAGTGCAGATTTCGTGACAGGTACAGCACTTTGAGAACCTCGAAGTGCAGATTTCATGGCAGGCACAGCACTTGGTGAACCTCGAAGTGCAGATTTCGTGACAGGCGCCGCACTTGGCGGGGCCTTGCTTCGTAGAAATCGACAAAGTGCTTCAGCCAGACTCTCGGTGACCTTGCAAAACGACTCTACAAATACAGCTTTGGCCTCTTTACTGTCCCCCAAGTCCAGAGCATAGGCAGTCGCAAATTTCCGTTGTCTGGGGGGATCAAGGTACAGCGACTTCCTTTCGCACACTTTGTAGACACACTTATAAAAGAAGGCCACCAACCAGTGATACGCGTGAAATTGCAACGGAGGCAGACATTTTTGGGGGGTTCGGTCGCTGAGCATAACCACGTCCTTCTTGCTCATGTTCATGTCGTGGGCGGGATGCAGGACCGGGCTCGCAAAAGATGGGCTTGCCCTCAGCAGTCTCATACGTTTGTGTGTAATTGAGGCCACTGTACGGAGTCAGAGGTAAGGTGACACTGAACCTCTGTGAGAGCCGTGCCCATCGATCCATGCGGGAGTTGACCTCCGAAGCTGCGATCATCATCTCAGTGTCCACCGCAGTTGCATTCCAAGCAGAACCTTGACAAGAGGCAATAGACTGCAAACCCTGCTGTTGCACAAAGTCTTGCAGGTCCAGAAAACGTTGCCGGAGGGCCCACTGTGGAATCACAACCTGGGAAGTAGCAGCAACGCAACTTTCCCACTGTCATGCCGCCTTGGTGCTGACACGGGCTCTGTGAGTCCATGATCTCTAGGTTAAATATAACCTCAGCCTCTTTGAAGGCATCCGGCACTAAACAAAATACTTACGACAGGATATCCAAGTAAGACCAAGGTATTGCCTTCGACCACGATCTATAGTCCAGCTACTTCTGCCACCCAACGACAAAGCATGGTGTCCGAACTAGGTCTTTCGATGGCTCTGGGCGACCATTTCTGGATGGACACCATGGCTAAAAAAAGATGCTTCTGACAGGTCATCCAAATAGGACAAGGGACCACGAACTAGCACAAGTCTGCCACCCAATGACAAAACATGGTGTCCGAGACTTGCTCTTTCGATGGCTCTGGGCGACCGTTTCTGGACACCACGTCTAAAACCATGATACTTATGACAGGGTATCCAAGTAAGACCAAGGTATCGCCTTTTCGACCACAAACTAGTGCAGCTACTTCTGCCACCCAATGACAAAACATGGTGTCCGAAACTTGCTCTTCCGATGGCTCTGGGCGACCATTCTTGGACACCATGGCTAAAAGCAAAATACTTATGGCAGGGTATCCAAATAAGACCAGGTACTGCTTTGGGCCACGAACTAGCGCAACTACTTCTGCCACCTTCTGCTTGCATCCAACCTGCAAGCTGGATATATAAATCTCAAGGCTTTTGGAGCGTTAAGTCAAGTCAAACAAAGACAAGCCAACGCAAAGAATAAACACGTTCCAAATGCAAAGCTCAAGCTCCAGAATGGATGGATGGGCCGTTCTGGTGCACACTGCCACCCATTTGAGCTGGTCTGCTTTGAACACTTTCTCCATGATTCCAGAGTGAGAAAATTGCCAAGAGTCTGCAAGGTCTGCGCCACAAGGAATGTTGTAACTCCATCGTCGGCAAAGAGCATGCGCCGCAGAGTCAACTTCCGTTGCATGGCTGCTATGTCACCGCTACGAGTGGCCAGTGTTTCAACATCCTCCCAGTCGACAGCCTCATTGTGATCCACCTGCATCGTCGGCACTGCTGTCACAGATCACTGCCAGTGAACATCTGCACAGCACTTGGTGAACCTCGAAGTGCAGATTTCGTGGCAGGCACAGGACTTGGTGAACCTCGAAGCGACAGATTTCGTGGCAGGGGCAGTGAGCCTCGATGTGCAAATTTCGAGGCAGGTGCAGCACTTGGTGAACCTCCAGCTACTCTCACTCTCACTCACTCTCACTCTCTCACTGACTCTCCCACTCTCACACACACACTCTCACTCTCACCCACACTCACTAACACCCACCTTCACTCACCCACACTCACTCTCACTCACACTCGCGCTCACACTCACTCTTCCACTCTCACTCACACTCACACTCCCTCTCACCCACACTCACTCACACTCACCTTCACTTCATCACCGCCATCACCTCTCTGGACCCCAATGCGTCTAGATTTCTAGACTCTAGACTTTCTGCTTACAGACCTCACACACGCTGTTTGGGGTCTCTTGCCGAGACAATTCTTGGGAGAAGCGGTGTCCAGGTTTTCAAAGGCCCGTGGTGTGGGATATGCTACCCGAGTGGCTCTGCATTATTAGCACTTTGTGTTTATGTTTTCTATCTTCTTTTGCTTTTGCGGAGAAAGAGAAATAGATGGATAGATTGAACGAGATGCAAATATCAAGAGACAGATAGGTAGATCGATAGATGAGTCGGAAGAGACTGCCACACTTCCCTACAGACTGCAAATCACACTGCCAGGGTCAGGGACACACAAAGAGGGCCGGCGACCGGAGGCGACAATTGTGGCAAGAGCAACAGGGCACTCCAAATCCAATGACGGTGCAACTTCCTAAGCTGCATCGCGAGAGATTATGAAAAATGCTGGGAAATGCATCGGTTCTCACTCATGCTGATACTCACTCAGACCAGTCATCTGTTTTGAACATCTTGAAACGTTCTTTCTCCCACTGTTCTAGGTAAGTGCCCCTTCAAGTTGACTGTGTGCGCGAGTGGATACATAGGATGGACAAGACCGATAGGAAAAATACGACAACGAACGACGGCAACAACAACAGGAACGACGACAAGAACAAGAACAAGAACAAGAACAAGAACAACAACAACAACAACAACTACTACTACTACTACTACTACTACTACTACTACTGGACCCCCTTAAATGTCCTTCACATCCAAGCCAGTTGACAAATGCAGCATTGCACAGCCTTTTTTTCCAAAAGGTGGGCGACCAGCGCCGGGAAAGACCCAAGTCGAAGTCAGTGGCCCGAATCGGCCTCAAGCTCTGTTTCATCGCCACACCCAGTGTGCGATGTCCCCGACCCCCTGGCCCCATGGCCAACAATCAGGTACCTGGACCCCCAAGGTCTCGGTCGTACCGGAAAGTGCGACATGACCCCAAAACAAAAACAAAACAGGTATACATGACCATCTCGTACCCCTTTTCCGAGGTGAAACACGGGTCGACTTCATGCTGTCCACTTCATGTGGGTCCTCGACCTCAACTTCGATCCACAGAGCCTCGCGAGGCTCACCCTCGAGTCGGGTGGACGTGTCGTGGACGCGCGTCGCGCGCGGGTTGGGGCGCGCACCGACAATGGTGCTGGGGCCCAAGGAGCCGCTGAAGAAGCTGTCGCCCACCCTGAGTCGTTCGGACGCGGCACGCGGCGCGCGGGTTCGAGGAGAAAAGCGTGGCGACCCAGTTGGAAGCTCTGAGTCTCGGATCCATTTTTCAATCCTCTGAGGAGGTGCTTGGAGGACACTTTGATCATCTTTGATATTCTTTTTATCTAGGCTTGGAGGGTCCAGTCAGACCTTCTTAGAAGGTATGTGAGTGCGGATTCCTAGGGAACAAGAACGACTGGGGAACCCCAGTTTACTACGGTCATCACGCGCATCAGGCGTTGAAACAGGCAACGTGAGAATTTATAACTTGCACCCTTGCAGACTAGCATGTCGAACCTGAACACACTGGTCTTGTAGAGCAACATGCTCTGCCCATGGTCCAATTTGGAGGTTCTGTTAGTCTGAGAGGGTGTAGCCGGACTGGATCCAGAAGGGATTCACTGGTTGCGATCCGATCGCACCGTGAAACGGCACACCGCCCTGGAACTCCACTCGCCGTTACCTGCCGGGACACAGCTCGATGATGCTGAGCAAGATCTCCGGGGCAGATGAACCCAAAGCCATCAACGTGAGGTTGGAGACCTCGGCTGAAGGAGATGAGCATTTTTCATGTTGGGGACGGCCAGGCAGAGGTTGGGTCCCCCAAAAAGGGGAGCCAGCAAAGACAGTAGGGCGCGGGGAGATTCAGGACATCTGCCCCCGCTTGCTAGCTTTGCTTGCGGATGGGTTTAGATGAAACTGCAAGCGGTGCCAGGCACGAAAACCCCTGCTATAGATCATGTAGTTGTATAGCAGTATAGCACTTTCACGACTTCCGAACCTATCACAGTAAAGGTTGACCATTGAGCGCGGACATGTCCCACCTTTTGACCGGCCTAAAGAACATAGGTTAGCAGGTTAGCAGGTGGGGTTCACCCCTGTTTTGCTGCCGCGAAATACCCTCCAGGTGCTTCCTACGGGTCACCAATGGACAACCCTACCATACTTACAGGTCTCCATTGGGCACCCGTTGGAAGTGCTAGGTATGACCAAATATGATCCTATAAATCTGTACGAAGCTCTCGTAGTGCTGATGGGCCGCACAAAGGAGACACATCGCTCTGTGGGTGCAACTGTGGGTGCAGGTACTCACCATGTTTGACCGACCACGGGGAGCGAAGATGCTCCAATTAAGTTACCTATAGAGTCTCAGTTCAGACCTCGGCAAGTGGGTACATATATCTGTATATTTATGGGGTCACGTAATGTCTTGTTTTTACCTTTGAAGGATCCAGGTAGATTGATGATTTGGAGCCCCGTTCTCTTTTGGTGTGTGGGCAAAGAAGCTCATCCGCGCAGCTCTCCACACAAATCCAACCAGTTGCGATTTTCGACCTGGAGGGTCTTAAGACCTGGAAGGGTTGAAGCGATCAGACGTACCCAAACACTCCACATATGGAATATGTGCTCTCTACATTGACCCTCCTGTCGGGGTGTCTATTTATAGCCCCAAACAGCCGTGATTCGTGTCCATTAACCACCCCTTGAAGGCCCTGGTACATTGACCCTTCTTCATCCCAATGTAAGAATTATCCAGATGTGACATATTCATGGAGTGTCGATTTAGCTCACCTCTATATGGCCGATTTGCCTCGATCGGCCCCGAATCGGGTCGGATCACGAGGTTCTCACCTATCTGGAGGGACTGGAGAGGTCGGGCTGTTTTCACGAAGACCGGAGAGGTCGATAAAACTCCTATGACTCCAACCCAGGTCTTGTGCCGCACCACGGCGTATGGAGGCTGCTCGCCGTCTAGGGGTTCAACACATCGAGGCCCCCGACAGTTTCGTTCCACACCTGCGATTTGCACGATGCTCGGATGGCTGATGACACATATTTGAGGATTCATGGCTAATTACAAGCTGCACAACTTGAGACTTAAGTCTCTTGATTCAATTTCAACCCCCGATATGGCCCACATGAAGAGGTTGTTCAATCATGTTCAATCCAAATGGGCTGGCTTTGTTCATCAAGAGTCTATATTCTAGAAATTTCTAGAACATGAACACGAGGTCAAAAAAGCCTTTTCATAGGGCTTCTCTCCCATCAACGCACGGCGTTCGCGCGGCCTTGCTGGTGTAGTTACGTCCCGTTTTAGGATCGACTACACGCCTCAGAGCGAGGGAGGGTCGACACCAGATTCAATGGGCCACATGGGGAGGTTTCCAAGCAACGGAGATTCCATGGGCCATGCTTCATGGATGGAACAATGGTATATGTCCCGCCAGTCGTGTTCTTTGCAGGAAACACCCCACAAATGCTTTGTGTAGGCGTCATTGGGGTACAAAGAAGGTGAATCAGTCAGGGGTAGGGGTTGAACGGTGTTTTACCGAGATGTCCTCACACAGTAGGAAACCAGTTTGTATAATTTTGATTAATTTTGTATATTAATAATATATACAGATCGGCAATTGCATTGGCAAGGCCAAGGGCCAAGGCAATCAACATTAGCACACTCTTTTTGTTCCATGTCAGTTCCCGAACTTGGAGGATAGGGGTTCACGTGGGTTCACAAGGACATCCACCCACTAAATGTCACTACATCAACTGGATGGATCTGTATAAAGGCATCTATACCCTCGTGGAGATTAACATGGACCCCCCCAAACCCGTGTTGGAGTCAGGACCATGGTCTGAGGTCAATGCTCAGGATCCATAATGAGTGAGTGAGTACGGGTCAAACGACAGCTGGCAACAGTTCTGTGGTTTGGGCCCCTAATGGAGCTGATACAAGCTCCAGTCAATCACATCCTCTCTAGTTCAAACCCCCTGGCACCCACCCCAACCACCTTCGAAACGGAGGTAGGTGGGAGCTATTTTAGAGGTCATTCCATGTTCACACTCGCGCGATGTTTGTGTTCGCCTCCAGTTCAATCGACTGTCGAAGAGGAAGTTCTGACTGAATTCGCTCAACATTTGGCGGCTTGAGGTATGTTCTTGCTGTCTAAAACCCAAACAGGACAAAGCTTTTTCCCTAGAAAGTCCAAAACTATCCCTAAACTGACCCGAAACCCTAAACCAAAACTGTTTGTTCAAACGGTCTGAACCCGGTGACCCGAGTTCAGAAACTTCTTGAAACCTTCAGTGGTGCCAAGGATCATGGAACTGGAACTTCTAGGCTTTCCAGTCTGACTCATGACATCCTGGAACAATAACAACAATTTATTTATCAACATAGGGAGACCTCCCAGGCGTTCCGATCCGCTGGAAGCAAATAATTACCCCCGCCTATCCATCGAATTGGGAGGTCTCCCTAGTTGAATACACACCGACATCTCCTGACAACTGTGCTGTATCTGGAGTCTCCACGTTGTACTCCAAACAAAATGGGACATGGCCCTGCGAACCGGCACCGGACGTAGCCATTTGATGGCCGACGTGTCTCGACTCCGTAATGCTTGCTCAAACCAATCCCAAAGCATTGATCTAGATGGGACTGCCATCAATAGGGATGGTTGAAAAGGGGTATGTAAATGTATATATTTATAAATATATACTTCGTACATGGAGTGTTTGGGTATATCAATCTTCCAGCTCTTCAGGAACTCCGCAAAACGACAGGGACGGCTTCACAGATTCCCATGCCGAATACGACACATGCAGCCGAATCTGCATGTGTCTTCCGAAGAAAGGGTGCAGCTGAGGGGCTTCTTTTTCGATGTGATGGTCTCAATGGAGCTCATGAAAACGTCTGCGACGATGGCCTTAGTGGCCATGTCCCTAGAAACTTCGAACGCGGCGACAGCGACGGGTCGTTTTTTTTCCGATGGCTCGCTGCCGTGCTGTCGCTACAGGCGAGTTGCCGTCCGGTGGGCACCTGCTCAGGCCTCAAAAAAGCTCCTTTTGTTGGATCTAAAGTCCAAAGAAGAGCACTGACACTGAAGATTCCACACGGTAAAGCAGGCGTCTTTTTCCGTGGAGAATGAACTC